GCGTGGAAGGGGTGGGGACCGCTCTTGGAGAGCAGGGGATCTGCCGTGGGGGCGGGGAAGGGGAAGTCTCCGCTAAGCCGAGATGTGGGCCCGGGGCCCAGGGACCCTTAGATGGTCGGTGTGAGATAAGCGAGTGTGCTGGGCGAGCGAAGGAGGGGAGCCTGCGTGGACCCACCCACTCGCACCCTAGCTGCTCTCCGCGATGGCGAAGGTGGCCATGCACTTAGAAACCCCAGGACCGCGACCTCTGCTTCGCTCCCGGTCTTTCAGCAGAACTCTTCCAGGCCCATCACTCCCGCGGCGTGGTTGTCTATCGGAGCCTCTCCCGAGGAAAGAGTAAAAGCAAAACAACCACCAACACTCCGAAAGTTACCTCTCATTTCCCCTCCTTGTCCTGACATCGCTTTATGATCTGCGAAGCACTTATCTACACTAGTTCATTTTCAAACATCTGTGACTCCACTTTGCATACCTTGAAGCTAAACCGCGGAGATATTAACTGGGGGCCCCCAGGTCGCCAGGCTGGTGAGTCCAAACGGCCTCAGAGCCCGTGGTTAGAGACCCCGGCTCCTCCGCAGTCTCGTCGCCTTCCCGCCTCAAACCACCGGATGTTGCATCTGCTATTTTCTAGTCTTGAGAGTGCCACGCGTGATTTTGTTGTTAATGACACAATGCGTAAGATAAACTACAGTCTCGGGGACCGATTGCTGTTTTTGATGGTGCGGGAGGAGGGTGCGCGCGCTCCTGGATGCAGAACGCAGTCAGCACAATCGTCCAAAGGGGGGGGGGGACCACAAAACAGCACCCAGAACGACCGTGTCCCATGCCAAGCAAAAATTAAACACCCCGCCCCTCCCCCACGAAGGAGACAAAACAAAACTGCACTCGGTTTCTTGATTTTCTAACTCGAAGGCCTTTGCAGTAACATGGTCTGGGGATGTGGCTTCATTTTGGAGGTGGGCGCCAGTGGAGAGCTACTGAGCGCTGCTGTGTGCCGGTCCCTGCCCGCTAAGTAATTAAAAATAAAATCTACAACAACAAAATAATTAAAACTCTATCAGGTTGGGGTGTGGTGACTCCCTGCGCCTTCACACCCGACTTAGGAGCTTATTGGTCCTGCCCCTAAAGCCTCAGGCTCCCAAGCCGACTACGTGCAAGGAGACAGATGCGCAGCGGGCCCGGACGGCGCGGGCAGCCTCGCGGGGCAGCCTCGCTCGCGGCTGCTCCAGCAGAACGAATGCGCGGGCTCCCGGCCTGAAGCGCCACAACAGGTGGCTGGCCGGGCTGACTTCATCGCTCAGGCATCGTTCCACCTTCGTCTCCCAGGCCGTGCCTTTCTCCTGGGGGATGTTTCACACAGCCCGTCCTGCTCCAGCCGGCGTTACAGGGGTTTTCTCCCTGCACATTTAGTCATTTTGTT